TAAATGTCACTTTTATTGATAAGACTGATCTGGTTTGTTGTAAAATAATTAAAATAGAAACATACTTTGACTCCACATCTTTCTGCAACTAATCTCTCATTTCCTTGTTTCTCTTTGTAGCAAAACTCCTCAAAAGCATTGCCTGTGTTTGTCTCCAATTCCCCTCCTCCTTTCTTTCCTGGATTGAATTATACTGGGCAGCCTCTGAGGTGGTTCCCAACGGCCCTATCTCCTGCTATGCATGCCCTTGGGTGCTTCCCAGCCCCTTGGGTGCCGGCTGGGCCTAGTGAATTTCTTTTAATGAACAGAATCAGCAAAAGGGATGGGATGGCCTATGGACAGATGCTCCACATCAGTGTCCTTAGGGAACTGCAAATTAAAACGACAGTGAGATACTGTTACCCTAAATTCCAAAACACCAACAACATGAAAGGCTGGTGAGGAGGTAGCACAATAGGAACTTTCATTTGTTGCTGATGGGAATGCAGAACGGCACAGACACCTTGGAAGACAGTTGGCAGTTCTTTAGAAAATTAAATGTACTCTTGTCATACAATCAGCAATCACGCTCCTTGATAGTCACCCAAAGAAGTTGAAAACTTATATCCACGCAAAAACCTGCAAACGGCTATTTATCGTAGCTTTATTTATAATTGTCAAAGTGTGCAAGCAACCAAGACGCCCCTCAATAGGTGAATGGGTAAATAAACTGTGGAACATCCGGATTATGGAACATTATTCTGTGCTAAAAAGAAATGCTCTGTGAAGCCATGAAAAGACATGGAGGGAACTTAAATGCACATCACTAAGTGACAGAAGCCAATGTGAAAAGTTTACCTACTGTGTGATTCCAACTATATGACATTTTGGAAAAAGCAAAACCATGGAAGCAATCAAAAGATCAATGGTAGCCAGAGTTTTGTGAGAGGGACGATGAATAGGTGGAGCACTGGGGGCTTTTAGGGCAGCGAAACTACTCTGTATGATACTATGAGGGTGGACACATGTATTATACGTGTGTCAAAACCCATAGAATGTACACCACAGAGTGAACCCTGTGCAAACGGCAGACTTTGGCTGATAATGATGTGTGGGGAACACTGGTACCTGGGGAGTCTGTGTGTGTATTAGGGAGAATGTGGGAACTCTCCCTACTTTCTGTTAATTTTTCTGTGAACCTAAAAGTGCTCTAAAAAATAGTCTTTTTAAAAAAATGATCGGATGTCAGTTCAGAGATTATATTACAAAGGACTGTAGCTACCATCCCGGGCTGTTCTCTCGTAGATTCCTTGCCCTAGGGGAACCAGCCTGAGCAAAAGTGGAGTCTTTTGCAGAAAAGAAGTGGCAGAGTAATGGAAATTGTCTAGGTAGCCAATAGGGCGAGCCTCTTCCTTTTGCACACACAAAAAAGTGACTTCCCTACTTTTTGATTCCTAAAAGAATGTAACCCCAGCACCACTTTCCATGATTCTGCTTCCATCTGGATGAAGCTTCAGGTATGAGAACAGTGTGGACAGGATTCCTGAGTGGTGGTGAGAAAGAGCCTCTCCGTGGCTGGCTCAGAGTGGGCGTGTGGGACAGAGAATAACGGCCGATGGCCTTTATTCAGTTAAATATTTATGTGATTGTTCAAATCAACGTTGCCAGGTTTACATTTTAAGAGGGTAGGAATTGTGACTGCTTAATTTCTGTTTGTAAAACCCAGGCTGCCTGAACCTCATGCAGGCATTTGCTAATAAGTGTCTTTCACAGAAAAGATGATAAATATGCGAAGCTGCTTGATTGCATTGTCCTTTCTGATTAATGCATATTTATGACCCACACTTGAATGCCAGGAAACAGCCGCCAGGCCCATCCGAATTTGTGCTGGGTATTTGAATGCAGCATTGCCACAAATGACTTCTCCTAAATCATGCTTTAAGCTTTAGAAAAATTATAATAGAACAATAACTAATCCACTTGTTCTCTCCAGAGATGTACATAACATGTGTGTTTCAGTCCTAACTGTTGACGTGACTGAATGTCTGTGTAATCATCACTATTCCATGCTGAAGTAAAGCAACAGGGCCTGTGGCTTCTCTTGCTACCGTCCGGTGTCCTTTCTCCTCTCCTTGCCAGGTGGAGCTTTCAGGTTGGGGCGGTGGCATCACACATGCTGTATCGAGAGCAGAATTATTCCATTTTTTTCCATTGCTGACCCACACTCCTTTTAGAGCCTACGTTCTGCTAGACAGGGTGCAAGGTGCCTGGGGGGCTTGTCATATTAGTCAAGTAAACTTATTCAGACTCAACCATTTAAACTGGCTTTCGAGGTAAACATTCAGTCTATTTTTGTGAAAGGCCCAGTCTTTCAACTTTCTGCTCCCTTCCCACTCCTCTCCATGGCATCTGGGAAAGGTATGTGGGGAGGTGCTTATGGCACAGGAGGGGAGACAGGCTGACACTAATTTGCCTTCCCACTGGCCTTTGCTGCAGTAAGGGCTGCCCTCGGACAGTGACCCTGATTATGACTCTTGCCAGCCCTGGGTCTTCTCTGGGGTTGGCTGCTGAAACCTGGAACCTGGTCACTGGTGATCACACTTACTCTTGGTTTAGGCAGGCCTGGTAACCACAGTGAATTAACTAGCTTTCCTGATATATTTATCAACTGGTTCTTGAGGTTCTCGTTTTGACTAAATGGAAGAGTTGGTTTCAAATCTTGGCAGGTCTGATCTCAGATCCATGTGACTTCTAAGCCTGCATACATAGCATTGTATTAAGATTTAATAGAACAAAGTGTGAAATGTATTCCTCGAGGAGCTTACAGACATATTGCATTAGTCTGTCCCTTACCCACTTTATGGTTATGTATGTAGTAGGTGCAGCCATTTCCTGGGAGGGCTTAGAATTAGAAAAAAATACCTTGAAAAAAGTTGATCTTTAAAACTCAAGTCAGTAAGAATGAAGAAATAAACAACAAACTATCAACAATAGTATTAGCGCCCAGCTGGGCGTGGCTCAGCAGTTGAGCATTGGCCTAGGATCCAGGAGATTGGGGTTCGATTCCTGGTCAGGGCATATGCCCGGGTTGCANGTCAGGGCACATGCCCGGGTTGCGGGCTGCAGCCGATCAATGACTCTCTCATCATTGATGTTTCTATCTCTCTCTCTCCCTTTCCCTTCCTCTCTCTGAAATCAATAAAGATATATTTAAAAAACCCCAAAAAACAATAGTAATGGCTTATCTTTGCTTAAGTCTTTACTTAGCTGGGCACTATATTTCAGGCTTATTTTTATCTTCGCAAGAACTGATTGAGATGGGCACTATTGTTTATCTTCTTCTGCAGATGAGAAAAGAGACTTGGAGATGTTAAACTACTTGACCATGATCATACGGCTCAGTGGTAGAGCCAGAATTCAAATGCAGAGCTTCTGCCCCTGGGTGCTGTGCCTAATCTTGACTTCATATTATTGTTTTCCCAAAGGTTAGTCACATGGACAAGTAACTTATGATATACTTGTCTTACTCTCTCTAACTAGGTCATAAAACCTTTAAGTGAGGGACTGCACCTCATTTTTTTGTTTTCCCACACATGATCCATAGCATAGGGACATTGTCTGTACTCAATATTTCAGAATGAATAAATGCATAAAAGGCTTTTATGGCTTATCAATGTGTGTTAACAAGATTGATATTCAGATTCAAAAGTCAACAAACCAACTCTGTACCAGGCAGTGTGAGGTGGTGGTGCAAACAGCATGAATTTTGGAAGATTATAAAGGANCAGGCAGTGTGAGGTGGTGGTGCAAACAGCATGAATTTTGGAGGATTATAAAGGATGTCTGGGAAGTGCCTGGCACAGAGGTGCACATACCCGACACTTTTCTTAATAGATTTACATGATCTAATTTAATTTTTCTCACACACAACCTTGCTAGGTAGGATTAGTCAGTTCAGGCTGCTGTAACACAACACCACAGACTGGGTGACTTATAGAACAGAAATTTATTTCCTCACCGTTCTGGAGGCTCCAAGTCCCAGACCAAGGTGCAGGCAGAGGAGAGCCCGCTTTGTGGTCTATGGAGGGCCCCTTCTCACTGCATCCTCATGGCCTTTCCTCTGTGGGTGCAGTGGGGAGCGAGCTCTGCTGCCTCT